ACCTCCTGGAAAGCAGAGAAAAGGCCCAGAGAAAAAGAGTTGGTTACTCCCCTCAAAGTCACTCTAGCACGACTGTATCAAAAGAACTAAGATAAGTTTCATCCTCCATTACTAAGCAGACAACCTCTTGAACAAAGGGACCAATCTAAATATTGTGCTTTTCATAGTGACTTTGGTCATCAGACTAATGAATGTAGGAACTTAAGGAGGCAAGTGAAGATGCTGATCGCAAGGGGAGACTTTGGAAGATATGTTCAAGGGCCAGCACAGGAGCAGAACCGACCAACTGAGCAAGTCAAGAGATATCAGAAGCTGAATCACCATAACGCTTAGCCCATTCAGATTATAATTACAATTCTTGGCCGACCTGAACAGACAGCAGAGTCTGAAGAGTTGCTCCGAACGCGTCTCCATCAAGCATAAATGAAAAGGAGGATAGGCAGTGTGAATGCTCTGCACCAGCAGCATGCATCAACACAGATAAAGTTCGATAGAATGGATTTGCTGCGAGTTCAGGTTACTCATGAAGACCCTTTGGTTGTTAGCCAGACAGTCGCAGAATGCCTGGTGCGAAGGGTGCTCATTGATCCAGGGAGCAGTGCAAATGTCATGCTAAGGGTTACTTTTGATTAGCTAGAGATCAAGCCGGAGGCACTTAAATGCACTGGAAATCCTTTGTTGGGATTCGATCGGCACAGTAGAATTGCTTGTCCGAGCTGCCGAGAGGGAACTTGTTAAAAGCTTTGTGGTAGTTGAAATCCATCCAACGTACAATCTGTTAATGGGAAGAGGATAGATTCATAGGGTCCAGGGAGTCCCATTGACCTTGCATCAGGTAATGCGATGTTTGAGCCCGGATGGAAGCAAGGTGATTGATATCCATGGGGATCAAGTTGCTGCTAAGGAATGTTACTTGGTAACTCTGAAAGCTGCAGCGAAAGGAAAAGCTCCCGTCCGCTCTACTAGCCCAGGATAACAATTGCAAAAGCCTCCCCCCAGCACGAACGGGGAGGAGGAGCCTCCGGTGTTGACTGAGGAGCCTCTAGTTGATGTCCAAATTAATCATTTGAGGCCAGACCAATCCACAAAAGTAGGATCAGGGCTTGCAGAGGAAGAAAAACGCCAGTTAGTTGATTTCCTTTCTCAGAGCGTGTGATACCCCTCGGATCTAAGACACGGGTTGATCAGGCCTAGGCCCAGACCCAAACCCGAGGGAATATTAGACAATTAAGTATTTTAAAATGAATACAGATGACAAAATGAAATAAGAATAAATATTAAAAGCTGAAAAGAATACTAATATAAAATCCTCAACTGATAAAACTTAATAAAATCCAACTTCCAAAACCTCCATGATTACAACTTGGGAATCCATCTAGTGGACCCCTAATAAAATCCCAACTGAACTGAAAACTGAAAGTGAATAAAACTAAAACATCGAGAGGAGTCCTACGTAATCTGACGAATGAAAAACTGTCCTCGAATAGCATGATTAAGCTCTAAGGCTGGAACTATCCTGTACCTGAAAAGAATGGAGTGGGTCAGGCCCACGAACAAGTTCTAATCTGATTGCAATCCATACAGTGACCCGATACGCAGATACACCCTAGATACCTCACAATATCTATTTAGTCCATGCATATATATATATCCACACTAAGGGACATTCACTGGACTATAATAAGGGTCTCAACCTAAATAGAAGGCAACATGCGAATATGCACCCAAAGGTGGGCATGAGTACCTAGACCTAATAGGGTACACTTCAACCTACTATATCCAGCTACACATCCACTGCATATACACACCCTAACCAACGAGCCTGAGACTCAAGCTCATCTCGTGGTACCATAATCATATATCTAAAGTCCGTCCCAAATCCAAAGTATGTCATTCAATTGTTCATTGAGGTGATGTATGTCATTCAATTGTTTATTGAGGTGACATACGAAACACAGTCCAGTTAGTCATTTAACTTATTCAGCTGATATGACTTAACTACAACCAACTAAACCAGGAAGTCACCCAACTTAGTCAGTTGATCTGACTTAAACACAATTTAGGATTCAATAGTTTACAATCTATTCCGTTAATCCGATGGGTTAGGTTTTAGCGTTTTGAAGCTAAACCGTGCATAGTATGCCACTGTTCCATACCAGTGCATACAATCCTCCATAATCATGTAACTCTACGCGTGTAGCACGTACCTCCTCATCAGATTTTTTCATATTATTAATCAGTTCAGCTTTACTAGGAGAGGGCCCCCAAACATCGCTTGGTGTAGGCCCGAAGCCAAGCATCCGCACACGACCAGGTCTCTCTTCTCTCCTCACAATAGAGAACAAATCATTGGAACTGCCAATAGGCGAGTCACAGTAACTTTTTTGAAATTCTTTTATGTTTTCCTGCCAAAAAAAAAATTGTTTGAACTACCATGACATACTGCTATGAAACATCCAGACAAATCTAATAAAATGAATGATAGAACAGGAATCTAGAAATAGCTGAACAGAAAAGTAATTAGATAACAAATTGGTAATGATGAAAGCTAAAGTGTTTTGAAATAGCAGTGCATCACATAATGTGAAAATATAGTTGTACGTACCTTTGAACTTTCATACAATCTAAAGCTTCAAAATATTCACACCCACTTCATTTACAGACAAAATGCTAGAAATTAAAGGAATGCTAAAAATTATGTGCAATATATTGACATTTCAGAACCTAAATAATAGTACTTAGCTTCAACCTGAAGTCTGAGGCCCATTTATTTATTTGTGTGTGTGTGTGTCTGAGGTCCATTTTACTTACAAATACTTGCATGCTTAACTAAATTTCTGTTATTTTTAATTTATCCTCGTTTATTATTGTGTAGTTGAAGATTTCCTTGTTCTTGACTCTGTGTCTTAGTTGCTTTGGCAGAACAACACTCTAATTCAGAAAGATTAAAGCAGGTTCGCTATTCAAAGTATTATTTTTCTTATACATCAGTATTTTATGGTAGTACTATATATGATTTTTTTTATTTTTTATTTTATTGTTTTGAGCAAGTAGGGGATTACCCAGGTCCTCTCTATCATAGATGGTCAGCATCAACCTTAGCTGAATGGTATGGAGCTGTTGGAAGATGCTCAACAGAATAAGCATGTTCTATCCACTGGATGTGAAAAGTATCTTGAGCCTGAATATTCACTATTTGTTTTTTTTACCACACTAAGATTATGATTGTATTAAGACACCTAAGTAATTAATTATCATTTTATGAACCAGGATTGACATGTTACTTCAAGGTGGATTATGTGAGGGACATCTAATAGAAATAGTTGGGCCATCATCATCTGGGAAAACACAAGTAAGAACTCCATTCACTTATAATTACAATCATTAAAACGAAACAAGTTAGTTGAAATTTCAGATGCTTCTGAATTATGTTTCTAACTGTTTTATGGCCTCTAAATCACTAAATTATTATACTATTCTTGGCCCACAATTTGATCACCAGATTTACCAGAGTTATGCTATTGATCTAAAATCTTATAACTGTCCAGGTTTGCCTACAAGCAGCCTCAAATGTTGCAAAGAATAATATGGGTGGTGTTGTGTTCTTAGACATAGGAAATTCCTTTTCTCCTAAACGCATTGCACATTACATCAGCCAGATCTCAGATCATACTGATAAAGAGGTCAGGCATCTTGTCTCGTTGTTATAGTTCTTTCTTTCTTTTTGTTTGCTCAGATGGTCATCTTTGGGTCTGGAAATAAATTCAGGAAACAACGCTCTTGGACTTCCTTTTTAGGCATGTTGTTGATGCTTGCTCCATTGTAATTTTCCAAGAAGATTTGTTCCCAATATAATTCATAGTACATGGTATGTAAAAATTTCAGTGACTTTCTGGGTTGGGAGACCTTGTGTGTGCGTGACATTTCTGGTGATTGTCTTCTCTTAAGATCTACGTGCATGTCCCCACCCTTTTTCTTGAGATTCCTCTTCCGGCTCTAATTTTTTTGTCAGGGATCTTTCTTGCAGGGGAACTACTAAATTCTTCATCTTATATGTTGAACTTGTTTCAGTTGTAGTTTATTTTATTTGGTTATGGAGAAAAAAACGCTAACATTTCTACAAAACCTGATTTTTTTTTTTTTAAAAAAAAAAAAAACAAACAAACAAACATAATAGGTTCTAAAAGCCTTCTACATAGAAGCACAATTGCAATTTAACTTTGAGCACCACAAAACCTAATCCAGATGGGAATAGCAAACATGTAATCCCATGAATTGATAATTTATATAAGATACTGAAAATTTTGCATGCCTGATTTCAGTTAATTATTGATCAGAAACAATATCTGACCATTCAAGTCCCAACTGAAATATGATCTTCAAATCTAACAAGATTTCAAAGCAAACACAGTCCGCCTAGAGGTAAGAGTTGGGATAAAAAAACAATAACTACAATAAAACAGGCATACTATTATGAATCTCATTCAAATACCCAGTAAAGGGTTTCTATCCCCTGATAGAATTGTTCAAAATTCAAATATCCTCATAAAGACTGCACCAAGAGTAAAGATCTATAGAAGTAGCCCATCGTCCATCATTACCCACTCCTCAAGGATCCAAATAATGGAATTATTCAAAGCTGTAGTAGCTACTTCTGAAATACAACTATATATGTGTATATCATACTTTTACCATGATTGAAAATGCAAGGATGACCGAAAACTATACATGTGTATATCATACTTTTAACTTTATATGTGTATATCATACTTTTACCATGATTCAAAAGGCCACTGCACTGGTATGAGTAAGAAATTAACACAAACAATAAACAACAAATAGCAAATACTTCTCTTCCACAACACAAATCAATCAACAAGAAGCCTCCACATACAATGATCCCATACTCCCATGCTTTTCAACAAATACAAGAAAGTAAATTGCCTCCACACGGGCGATGATAAACAATGAAATTCAAATGCCTCCACATGGGCCGATGATTTAAAAATTGGTCACTTCAAGGCATGTGACCCCCTAATACACCGCAAAGAGTTTAAAATTTGGTCACTTCAAGGCATGTGACCCCCTTTTTGCAAAATGGAAGCATGAAAACTTACAATCATCTCCGAAGCAGCAGCATCAGTAGCTTTGCCATCCTTATTTATATGTGTGCGATTGAATAAATCTGCACGAGAAAGCTGAATACCTTCGTCTTCCTCAATCTATAAAAGAAACATAGACATTGTGATATATATTATTATACCACTAACATTTATAATCATTCAACGACATAAGAACTGAAATAATTTATATTGCTAAAACTTCAACTAACCTCGGCAGAAACACATGCAAAGCTTTTTGTCCTTGTAGTATACATCATTGTCTGCTTCCCACGACGTTCTTTGTTTTTTTTACTGACCTCCTACAAAAAGTGAGAAAAAGTAAACGTTCTAACACTCCACCTAAAATAATGACTGAAAGTAGGTAAACTATAAATTCAACTCATTGACTTTAAACAAAATTGGTAGATGGAGGATTACCTTCGTCATAGGCGTACCCCAATGCCTAACCAAAAATTCCCAATGCTCCTTTTCAACATCAGGTGGTGGGTTTGCCAATCTTTCTGCATCTGTATCCCTAACTGAGTAATATTCACTTTTTAATTCACACTTGTACCCCCTCCATTTTTTTCCGATGGAGGATATTGTCCAATGTTTTGACATGATTCCCACATCATACTTTCCCTAAAAATGTGATAATTGTTGCATGTTAATCCACTTTTTCCATAAAAATTATTTTAATATCATTGAAGGGTTTTACCTTTACAACGTTCCACATATCCTCTTTCAGCTGTTTAGGCATCTCCCACCAAGTTTTGTAGCACAACGGAGCTAAATTAGCATTCCGGGCAAGTGTTCCCAAAAAATTAGTATATGTACCACTTCCAGGGCCGATCGGTTGTCCAAACTTATTAACCCTAAACAAAAATTAACAATTGTAGATTGACGAGCCCGCTTAATATACGCCAAAATGATGTAGTGAATGTGCGGTTGAAGAAAAGCCTTTTGGGTCAAGTTTAAATTTATAAAAAACCACTACTAACACTACTACTAAAGTAGCAAGAGTGAGTAGGGATCGTCCCAAGGGATTATACGTGTTGGAATTTAACTTCAACTGTAGCGTATCACAAGATTGCAAAAGATAGAGATTGGTTGATTAAACTAGAAAACAATTAATTAAAATGAAAGTGAAATAAAACTAATTAAAGATAGGGATTTAAGAGATATGAAGAGAGGACTTAGGGTGTTGGAATCACCACTAAGCTCATGTAATTAACCACCTGCTTTCCATTAATGGGGAATACATTGTTGTGAACAAAATGCAATTACCAATTGCAATATTAAGTATGGACCATCTAATTTAAGAATGAATTGTCTACCTAAACTAAGTGTAGCACAACCCATCAATTTTAAGCATGACCCATCTAACTAGTAACAATTGTAGCACACATCAATCTAGAGAATCATGGAATTTGCAATAATAAGCCATGGAATATCTAAGCAAGCATAGTTTGTCTACCTACCTATAAGCATGAATTAAATTGTAGAACAACCCATTAAGCATAAGTATAAACCATTAAATTAATTGACAAACTCATTCAATGAAAACCTATGCTTAGCCATCACTAAATCTTTAATTATTCACACATAGACATGTAACCAACATAGAGAATCTAGTGTACAGATCAATTCCCCAAATAATCACACATAAGACAACATGTAATTAAAATAGAGAATCATAAGGAAGAATTAAATCAACAATCACAAGGCTAGAGCATTAATCACAATAATATATATATAAATCCCCAAAAATAGAAATACAAGGGTTTAGATTACACAAGACTTTGGGCTTATCCAAGCCCTAAGTATAAATCTAGCCAATCATGGAGGAAGTGGATGTGGTCATGGAATCAAGCTCCAAATATGGCTCCATCTTCTTCTTCCTCTTCTTCTTCTTCTTCTTTAAACCTCTAGAGATGGAGAGAGAGAGTGGTCTAGAGATGGATCTTGAGATGTGCCTCCACTTCCCCCTTTTCTTCTAACCCTAATATCTAACTTTCTAGAGAGATAAAGTAAAATTACAATGTAAAAATAAAATGATAAAAAGCTTCTTTACAAATAGGTCACTTCCCTTTATATGGAAGGTCCTTTTCTTAGTCACTAAGTCATGAATATAACCCCAAAAATATCTAATCCCGTACTATGTGGTAGGTGGACTTTTGGGCGTGCACGGTAATAAGACAGCTCGCTGCCAGCAAAAGTTCGATCGATCCAACTTTAATTTTCGATCGATCCAACTTTTCGATCGATCTGAGAAAAGTTCGATCGATCTCACTTTTTTCTAGCGATTGATCTCAGAAAGTTGGATCGATCCAACTTGAGAGTTGGATGGATCCAACTTGGCAGATTTTCAGCATCAGCCTCTTTTTGCTCCAAATCAGCCTCCTTTTGCTCCGGATCATCACTAAGACTTAGTTTGACTCCGAAAAGGCTTTAAGAAACCATTTTTAGCTCGTTTTAACTTTATTGACCAAAAAAGGGAAATAACACGAAATTAGTCTAAAACGGAAAAATAAGATAGATAAAGGTTCTAGAATACTCAAGTTTAAGGGGTTTAAATGTGTACTTTTCAGCACTTATCACACTCCCAAACTTAAATATTACTAGTCCCTACCAATGAACTACAAAGTAAAGAAATGAAATGAACAACTAATTAACTATGAACTAGAAAGCAATAAAAGGATAACACCACTTTCGTAGGGAACACGATTGCACTTAGCATATGCAACAAGCCTTTTAAACCCCTAGGTTACCCCTAGTGGATGAGTGAAGTCTTGTGATGGTTTCCAGAAATGATATCCACAAACATTAAGCTCATTTTTACAAAAGAGACACCAATATTGCAAATAAGCATTGGGAGAAAACTACCTCAAGTATGCAATTTTACAAAGCAATCTCCCAAAATTTCAATATCAAGCAAACAAGTATGGTCCTCCACACATCAAGAAAATGATCATGCAAATCAAAACAACTCTAGAATCCGTTTTGAATGGACCGGCATCAAATGTGTTGCTATCTTAGCCAACTAAAGAAATGATCACATCCTTACCCTCAAACTAGCACACAAATCTAGTATCGATCATCAAGATAAAAAATGGACCTTTTATTAAAGCTTTATTGCTCTAGGTGCGCTTATTATTTTCATTCAAATTTTTTTATTTTTTTTTATTTTTAGGATCAAAGATGGAAACATGGTGCAATGTGTTGATCTATTAAGCTTTTTAGTGATCCATGAGATCGAGCGTTAGGTCAATGACTCCCAAACCAGACGGCTTTAGGGCATTAGGTGTTCAAACACCCCTACAGACTTACAAGCTCAAATCAATTAGATTACAAATCAAGACAACCTCCATCTAATAATTTCCCACTTCTCACCTTTTGGGAGAAGTTCTCACTTTTTTATTGCTTTTGCAACTGTGACAGCCCAAGTTTTGTAAACCCGTTGCGTCAGTGATGACCAAAAGAAGACCCGATAATGGATCCGAAATGCGGAAATGAAAGGTGAAACAACGGTCTCTAGAGATACAATGCGTCTCTAAGACACCAATGTGACCCTCAATGAGGTCACGAAACCCAAAGTAAACAAATGCAGAAGTGTCGTTTCAAAAACAGACAAAAAGAACATAGGGGTAAAATGGTCATTTTGCAAAAAGTGGATTCAAGTGCTATCGAGCACACCGCTAGAAAGACAATGAAAAATTAGTCAAGTTCAAAATTTTTTTTACTCAATTTGGAGTCCGGACGGGGGAGAAAGGTCAAAAACAAAAATGATGTCGTGGCGGCCCGACGAGGACAACCCACCACTGCTGCAACTGAGAGTAAAAATGGGCATCTAAACGAACTTTTTTGGAAAAACTCAAAGAAGAAATCCCCCTTAAAATCAAGTTTCCTACCACGTTCGCGAACGGAAACAAAAAAAAAATGCATTGTAAAATGCCCAGAATGCCCCCAAGAAAATCAGGTCAAGAGGAAAAAAACTAATCCGAGCTACTGCCCAAGTTTTGGAAATAGGGCTTCAGGAGGTTTTTAAATTGCCTAAATTGAAAATGCAATCTTAAAATGCCCCCACAAAACCTCCGGAAGTTTCGGATCGGTCATGACGATTTTCAAAAAAAAAGTCGATGAATAGTACCAACTATATTTGTACTAAAAATTTGCAAAACCTGGCAGCAAGGATTTTTTGGAAAAATATTGATTTTTAAGGGCCAAGATGATGTTTTCTGGAAAAACACAAAGAAGAAATCCCCCTTAAAATTGATTTTTCTACGTGACTCGCGTGGAAAAATAAAAAAAAAAATGCATTGTGAAATATCTGAAATGCCCCTGGAACAGAATAGGGTAAAATACCCTAAAAATGCTACTTTGAGTTTTTGTTTCATCAAGGAAGGTATTGTTTGCCAAAGTGAGAATGCAAGTTTATACAATATGATAAAATAGATGTGCTACAATGGCCTATGGTCTCACTACAATACATTTACAACATTTGACATGTCAAACCTCCAAGTTAGAAAAATTACATTTCATAGATAAATCATGAACATTTTAACACTTGCATGTGAACAAGAATACTTCTAAATGCTAAATCAACTAAATATAGCAATTTAGTATGGATGTACTTAATAACATCAAATCACCAATAGCCAAAACCACAGTCACAATATAAACATGATTGATAACTTGGAATTGAATGCGAAAACAAATAGTGGAAGACTTGGATATCAGTCGGATGAGACCGATACAGGGCTAATTTAGAGCTACTAACCCCTAGGTAGCCTACCCAACGCGTGAACTTTTCTGGGCTAATTTGGAGCTACTAACCCCCAGGCAGCCTACCCAACGCGCGAACTTTTGATTTAGAGGACTCTTGTCCCCGTACTAGAGCCAAACCTTAGCCATCATGCAATGTCTTAAGTGGTTCCAAAATAAATAGATAAGTTTACAACTTATATACGTATTGAATAGTACATGAAACTACCTTCATGCACAAGTAGGCTGAAACCACACAACACATACTCTAAATCCACAACTACTATAGGATGATAATGTCGAATCTTCAGAGCGCGATTCGTTACGCGCTATAATAACATTACATGTCGAATCTTCAGAGCGCGATTCGTTACGCGCTATAACAATATAATCCAATATTGAAACATAACTTATAAATCCATTATAAGTCAAAAGTCATGCTTTAAACATACTATCAATGTCAAATACATGAGTTAATCAATAATACAATAGAAACGGAATTTAATCAATAAACTAATTAAATTCCTAATATTTCAAATCTCAATCAAATGGCCTCCAATTAATACATGATAAACAATATAGCATGGTCATTATATACACCACATCAAAACTCGATTAAGCCCTAAGAACAATAAAGTGGAATTTAATTAAATCATGAAAATCAAATCCCTAACTTCTAAAATACCATCAAATGGTTCCAAATTAACATATGCTAGAACATAAGTCATAGTTATCACAAATATCAAGTTAAACACTTAATTAGGCCAATGGAACCCTTAATTAGATTTTAATTAATCATTTTAATTAAAATCTCTAGATTTTTATACTTGTCCAAATGCTCTCAAATTAAAGTATGTTAATCAACATGCCAAGACATAATTTAAAAGCATATCACAAGTCAATTTTATGCTAGGTACGGCCATGGGATTTAATCTTTTACAAAAGATAAATCTTAAATAAAATATGCAATTCTTATTCAATTAATCCCAATTTA